AAAAAAATAGAGTGTGGTATTATTAAAGTTTCTTTTTCTCTTCTTTAAGTGAGGGTATGCCAGAACAAGTTGGAGATCCACTGACTTATCAAGTCATTCAGAATTTAGTGGCTCTGTGGAAAATCTTGAAGTTTTGCTTAAAAAATATTTGTTTCATAGGTCAGCCTTTGCTGCATCAATTTTATGAGTTTGTATATTAAACATTCATATTGTAGAAAAAGAAACAAGTCAAACTGCTTCAGACTTCCTATCGGGCCCTGGTATTGCTTCAGCTTGGTTGCTGAGTTGTCTGCTCCTGCCAAGGTGTGGATGAAAGCACTGAGGTTGGTTCAGAGGGACGCCACCACAGAGGACGCCACCACAGAGGGACGCCACCACAGAGGACGCCACCACAGAGGGACGCCACCACAGAGGACGCCACCACAGAGGGATGCCACCACAGAGGACGCCACTTCTCGCTAGATGTCATCCTGCAGTTCCTGCTTTTAGCTAGTACTTAGTCCTAGCTAGCTAACATCTCAGCTATCTGCGTGTTTGTCAGGACCCTCTGTTGATGCCCGATTCCTTCGGACAGTGATTTATTTATTTATTTATTTATTTATTTGATTAACTGGGTCATGAGATCTGCTGTAGAATTTGTGCAATACCTTATGTAAACACCATAAGGCGAGTGCCATTTCGTTCCATTATATTCAAAAGGAAGCAGACATTTCTACAGCTGATGTTCCCAAAATAGGGAAGCTAGCAAGAAAACAGTCTGGATAAATAAACAGTTTTACAGGCCAGAGGAAAAATATGTCAATTTGATTTTTGGTGTAAACTGTCCCTCTTAAAGGTTGGGGGCAAAAAAAAATCCCAAAAATATTTTATTCTACTTGAGGATTATAGAAATACAGCCACACTATTACATCACATAGAAAAGATTTACTTTAGACACACATGTCTTCCTGATTCAGATAAATATATTTATCATCTTTGCAAATACTGGGCAAACGTTTGATATTAGAAGCTTTTTGGATTAAGGTGGCCACATTTCAAATTGGTACTAACTGATATCTAACCAATGGCACATCTGTGAAGTTTTCAAATGTGACAGTCGTTACAATAGTTAATCCTTTAATGTCAAGAGTGTCATATTTGATCCATGAGATCTTCATCATTGTGTGATTTTTCTTTTTTAAAAACCCAACTCCCTTATATATTTGTTTAAGATAAACAAACGGAGAAATTAATGTAGCATAACATGATCCAATTAAATCTCATTTAATCAAATTGATATTTAATTGAATCTTTTATTTCATTTGTCAGAGGCTCCATTAAACATTCTGCTTTGCAAAATTTGAATTTTCTTGCAGTTATTCCATCGTTCAGGCTTTACTGGGATAAAATGATTGCACATGCACTGTAAACTGTAAACTGCAAGCAGTGAAGCTTTTCTTCCTCAGCAGATCAACATGAAAACGGTTCCTTAGTGTCAAACTGCTGTAAATAAAACTGTATGCAGCTATGACCAAAGCCATTTAAAATGAAACATAAACCTTTTTCCCCTTGCCTATGTTTCCGTCCCTACAGGCAGAGACGATGTAATTCAGAGAGTGACAGCACATCAGCTCAGACAGTATCACACTAAAATGTTTTCCCTTGTCGAGCTTTACTGTCGTGGCCATATGGCGCCGTGACACAGAACGAAGAGGCTTCTTAAGTGAAGGAGAAAAACTTGCATGAGAGACCATCAATCACACTTTCCTTCCCCTGATCTCTGCCCCTGTTCTCGTCACAGATCCGCAGTGTGCAGATCCTGCCTGTGGATTATGAGATCGAGTACATCTGCAGAGGCAACCGAGTGATCGTAGGACCGAAGGTCAGGAAGTGCTTACCCAACGGCACGTGGACAGACATGATGCAGGCCAGCAGATGTTGTAAGTCCTCTTTGGTCTCATTCTTTCTTTCATTTTTCCTTTCCCCCCTGCAGACGGATCTTGTGCACAACAATCAGCTCTTTCTTAAGTGTCACGTCTGCTTAATCAGCATCAAATTAAAACCACACTTACGCTGAACTGAAATCCCAGTTGTTTTGACAGTGCTTCACCACCCTCCCTGTTTACTCTTTACACAAAGGAAAGTGTCACATACTGTGCAGCGTTCACTGTCACCGTCGGTTTCCAAAGTAAAGTGAACTGATGCAGTCTGACTTAATGAAACGAAACCACACCTTTTAATTTGTGTGGCTGCCAGCATTTGTTAGCATCATTTGAAAACTCCACTTCCCCCTCAGGGTGAAGGTAGCTCAGCACTGACATGCCATCGCTGTTTAAGTTAAACCAGAGCCTGTCCAGGAGAACCATTCCACTTCCTGTTAAAACCACGGGGCTGCATTTCATCAGGGGCGCTCATGAGATGAGTAGAAGTGTATGGAGCTAAATGGGTAAAATAGTTATTTAATTTTATTTAAGCTTTGACAACTGATCTAAAAAATCCGTCTAAATGGAAAAAAGAAAAACACTCGTGTCCTTTAGTGTTTCTTACACTGAAGCTGATTTAGCCCCAAAAACACTAGCAATCTGCTAATGTGCACGATGAATGGTACATCGAGGATTTACCACAGCACTTCCTCCTTTTTAAAGCAATTTTTTAAAGTGATAAGGAGACATTAGAAAGATGGTTACATTTCAACAGAAGCCTCGACGCGTGTAGAAGAAGCAGCCAGTTGTGGGGGTTGAAAATGATGCTGTCTGCTGCTCGCTTCATGCCTGAAATTAAAATGGCAGCTCCTGTAAAGTGGCTTAGGTGCTGCGATGTCTCTAATGCTCTCAGGAATATATTTCACCAACATCAGAACCAGTAACACAGAATCTAAAAATGCAACCGTATCTCTTGATCCTTTCTATCAAAAACAAAATGTTTGTGCCACAAAATGCATTAATGCTCCAAAAGGCCCCATTTATTCTCAACTTGTCTAAAAATCATGTTTTTTTTGAGCATTTAGGGGCCGTTTGGTCAAATTAAAACTTCACCCAAATGAGCCTCACTCCATCCACTGCATAGTGAGAGGGTGTGGAGGCGCTCAGTGATTTGCAGACCGCGTAAAATCCAGAGCAGCACCAGAAAGCAATTCATTTCCACCTGCCACAGAGTTATGAATTCAAATGGAGGAATTTTCCCTCCAGAATCTTCCGAAACAGGCTTTAATGTGGCGGAGGATCACGGAGGTCGGAAGCCATATTCATTTAAGCCGTTAGTTCACGGACATAGTGACGTGATGTCACCTCAGTGTTAGGTTGCTGCCAGTCTGAGCCAGAAGGGATCATATTTGTCAGCTGACACTGATCGAGTGTGCAGATACTGAGACACGTCTCTACAGAATAATGAAGTAATACAATGTCACTCATCAAAAACCGGAGCACTGTTCACTCACACCGCGGCCACATTGTCACATGATTCCATTAAGACGCTCCAAATGGCACCAACAGCACAAACACAGTGGAGCAGTCCAATGATAGGACACCCATCACAGTAGCCACGCCCCCAACTTTAAGCCTTACCAGTATTCAGGTGGAGTTTGACCACCATGCATCGATTACGAAAGGAGGAAACTGTTGTGGCCTCAAGATGTTTATTAGTACGTTTGGTTCATTTAACACAAGAGGCAGCGGTGGGCAACTCCAGGCCTCGAGGGCTGGTGTCCCTGCAGGTTTTAGATGTGTCCTTGAACCAACACAGCTGATTTAAACGGCTAAATTAGCTCCTCAACATGTCCTGAAGTTCTCCAGAGGCCTGGTAATGAACTAATCATTTGATTCAGGTGTGTTGACCCAAGGTGAGATCTAAAACCTGCAGGACACCGGCCCTCGAGGCCTGGAGTTGCCCACCCCTGGTCTATGGTGACCGGCTTTTGGAGCCAGAGGAACTCCAGTGTTTTGGTTTCTTACTCTCTCCCTCCGTCTCGCTATCAACGGGTCATCCTTCCTTCTCCAACTATGCGCTGATACATGCAGGTGTGAAGAAAGAGCGCAGCGTGGCAATTTATTTCTACTCCCGACAAAATCAGCGAAACATTGCACCAAAATCAAGACGCACGGTGTAAACTGTAGTGAATGAAGCCTGTGGATTAGTAGCTTCTGTGTTATAAAAGGAGTGCGGTTTATCCATTCAAGAAGTGCAACCGGAGGAGGTGTGCCGCCTACCCCTGATTAGAGGGCATTTTTATCTATTTTTATATGAATTACACGATGTCGAGTAATCCCAAATGGTTGCTTCCATCTCGCTGGCTTTGCAGCGTTCAGGATGATTGAAAACAGTCGACGGTATGTTGAGCTGATTCCAACCTATTATGTGTTTTATTACAGTACAGTTATATGATTTGGTTTAAAAGCTTTTCCCTAATGTTTAACACGATAGACTTGGGTATTTACACTTATAGAGCATCATTTGTGCTCATTCGGAGTTTTGTTTGTGTCTGCCTGGCAAATATAAGTGCAATATTTACTGTTTTAGCTCAGTTTCTCCTCCAACTCCGGAGAGAAATACTTGGTCGATGAAATACTGCTGTCTGTGTTGCTAACTCTGTCTGTTTGGCACTTGGTGCCGAGTACAGGGAGTGTACTGGGAGTTCATAAGAGCTTTTCTGCTGACAGTTTCCTGCTGTGGCTGAAAGTGATGCTGAGTGAACCAAATCCAGACAAATCTTGTGTATAATATTCAGTTTTTAAGTGTCCTGTCTGCTTAATCAACGATCTTAATTTAAAGCCAAAACTACAATGAAATAAAATGTCTGATGTTATGACAGCAAAGATTGACTTTGGTCTCCACCAACTCCTGTTGTGCACTTTGTTTGGCACTCGGTGGAGGTTGCTTTTATATATCCCACTGTTAAATTACAATAGCATTAGGTAACATTATTTTTCAAAAGAAATGCAACATATTTACTGCAGTTTAAAGTAACCTGTTACATTACAGTAATACCTACTGAGTTAGAATACTTTATGGCTTTGCTATTAATAGTGGGCAGTTCTTCCTCTGTGATTGCTCGTGGAGGATCTTCTGTGTAATACTGCAGAATCTTTACCTTCATCGTCAGGCTGCTTGTTAAATATTAAAGCTCTCAAAGACCTCAAACAGGCTGAAATGCTGCAGCGAGATGTTAAGAGAGCTGTGCATGAATATGTCTCCAAACCTCCATGAACTTTTAGAAGAGCGAGCCACAAAGTGTGATAATGATCTAATAATAATGATATGAGAACATTTGAAGTTACTGCTGTTACAGATGGTTCTAAAAGTATACTCAGGTTTTCACATCACTGTAAATAAAACTGACTGTAAAGTGCAAATAAAATTAAATTTAGCTGCATTAACATGCAGAGAAAGAGTAAAACTTCATCTGGGTTTATAAAAATATTTTCAGCAAGAAAAAGACGAGAGAAATGTGGTAAATATGGTGAAATAATAAATGAACCGATTACTTGAGAGGACAATCTAACATGTTACTTCTTACCGTGGGTTTAGATTTCACTTATTAGACATGTCCCGTCTAATAAGTGGAAGAAGCAGAGGAATTACTCAGAAAGGCAACAACGGCTCTAACAGAAGAGTGTTTTTTTCTTCCTTTTATCTTTTTCTTTGTCCTTTTCCCCCCAAAATATTTACATAGAGTTCATACCACCACTGAATCTTTTGTTGTTAATCTGTTAAACTCCACCACATGCAAACACACGGCGCTGTGATCTCAGTCGGCAGCAGCGCCTCGGTCCTCTCCTCTGCACTGTCGCTGTGCACGTGCAGCCAGGTTTACAAGCAAGGAGCAGAGCTCCAGTGTTAGGACGTTTTATCTCAGCTGTGAGACACTTTCCCCAACGCAAGTTTCAAAGTGCTGTTGCTAGTTTGCGAACTAGTTTTAAAATAATGTTTCATGTGGGCAGAAACCCTGCTGAAACACATCTGAGGTATTAAACTCGAAGGTCTTAGAAATACAAAAAAAGCACATTAAGCAGGTTAGTTTCTCAAACAAAAGACCCAAAAGACGCCTGATATCAGACACAATCATCAACCCCGACTCTGCATCTGTAACCAGCTAAACACATAAAAGAGACTGAAGAGTTAATCATGCCTGTGTGTGCTGACTCAGCAGGGATGGGGAAGGTGAGAGAAATTATCCAAAAGTGATACAGAATACTCGAGTACCTTATTACGTTATACTGGAGTCTACGGTGAATTGTTGCCCCGTGTCTGGTTCTTGTGTTTTCCTTTACATAAATAAAAACATTTAAACCATAAA